CCAATAAGCTACCTACGTGCCAAATTTCAAGCAAATCGGACCATAAATAAGACCTTTTTGAATAGATCGGTCCCTGGCCCACTTAACGGAAAAAAGGGATCCTATATGCCAATCTAGGCAAAAGGCTACCAACGAACAAAGTGCATTTTCTTTAGCGTAGCTCGTAATTTTGTGCACTCCTTTTAAACACCTGTGGGCCATTCCATTGTCACTAGTGGGACATTTTACTCCAGAATGTGATCAAACGTGAATTTGAACTATGTCGTCTGAACTTATACAACAGCGAAAGATATTTTTCACATAGAAGGATAACTAATGTATAAAATTGCTTTAACAAAAATACCAAACGAGTTCTTAGCTTTATGTAACTATCATTTGAATGAATGTGACTGGTGGGACACTGAAAAGAACTCTATTTTAGCCTTGTGTACTCAAAGTTGAATTTTTGCCAAAACACTTAATTTTCACGAACGATGTATTTGTGTTGTAAAATATGAATTATACGCTTCTATTTTCAACAAAAATTAGGTTTATATAATCTTCATAGAAATATTAAAAAATTTTTAAAGTTGTGACTGGTGGGACATCTCCTGGTGACTGGTGTAAAGCAATTATGCTTGAAATAAAAGTTTCCATAGACAAAAATTACAACTTCTTTAGATTTTTTTAATATTTTCCAATATGTTAATGAAATGTAGTCATTCAAAAAGAGGTTACTACTGAAATAGAGATAATTAGGGCATATTTAAATTTATGTCGTTTTCCTCTTTTCAATGGAATGACCCCTTTCCAAAAAAGCAGCACCCATTGGAATCGGTTATGAAACATAGGAGAAAATTGTTCCCAATTGATTCATGCTCCCAATGAATTTCACAATTATCCGAAATTTTCCAAGCTTTTGTGGAAAAAAATTAAAGTTTTCGCGTTCTTCCGTTTTGTTCCGAGTTTCCACTTAGAATTTTCTGTTTTTCCATTCGAATGCCATTCCGAAGGAATTGCATACAAAAAAATAAATTTTCGATTTTTCCAGTTTTCCGACATTCCCGGAGGGTTATCCCAAAATTTTCTTGGGAACTTAAATTCTGGTGTTAAATTCTTTTGATTATGGTGGCTTATTCTTGTTTTTGCTTGGAACTTTTTCGAAAGGTAATCAATTTTATAGTCCTCTGGTAGTTTTACCTTAATTAATATACATACCGATAATGGAAAAATTCTTTCGATTACCAGATGCCGTAACCGAGTTTGAGGCCGACTAAAACGACACGGCCCAGACTGATCACACCAAGCATACGCTTACTCTTCAACAAGAATAATTGAAGGCAAAATGGAGCAAAGTAAAGGCAGCGTATGAGGAATTGGTACATTCCGACACGCTAGACGCTAAAGGAATCTCTACTGTGAAGGCCAAGTATAAGAATTCGTATGCTATATAGTTGCGATGCATGTCAAACATGGCAGATCTGCATGCAAAGCTAGTTATAGGGCTTTCGAACGAGGCGATTTTTTCAGGCAA